TACCATGACAAACCTTACCAAATTAGAGATTGATGCCCTTGACATTAATGACAATAATTATTTGTCATGGGCACTCTATTATGAGATTCATCTCGATGCCATGAACYTGAGAGAAACTATTAAAGAAGGAAATATGACTACGAGTCAAGAAAATGTGAAAGCTATTATTTTCGTTCRTCACCATCTCCACGAGGGATTGAAAGTGGAATATGTGACAAATAAAAGATCCCGATGTTTTATGGATGAACTTGAAAGAGAGGTATGATCATAAGAAAACAGATATTCTTCCTAAATCTTGTCATGAATGGATGCACTTCAGACTCCAAATTTTCAAATCAGTAAGTGATTACAATTCTACAATATTTAAAATCAGTTTGAAATTATCATTATGCAGAGAGAAAGTTATTGATGCAGATATGTTAGGAAGACATTTTGCACCTTATTATGTTACAAATATGCTCTTGCAGCAACAATATTGAGAGAACACTAGTAGAAAAGTGGTATTCCATGACAGTTGTGAACAGTAAAAAAGTTTGGAGGAAAAAAAAACTGTCATAAATGATGGGGGCACCTCTTTGGCGGGAAAAAACGCTATTTTTTGGATTTTGTAAGTTTTTTATGACAGTTAAAAACTGTCACGAAAATCGAATTTTCAATGACAGTGAAAAACTGTCACGAAATATTGGAGGCGTGATATTGGCGGGAAAAAACGGCAATTTACGAAAATTTTCATGCTTTTATGACATTTTATAATTATCAAGAAAAATAAAAAATTTCAAGTATTCCATGATAATTACCTAGACCATCTTAGGAATGTATGACATACAAAAACAAATGATTTTGAGCGCGTTTCATTTCTTTCGGAAAAACTGCAGTTTTGTTAACGATATTAATTATTTTGGGATTATCCGGTCGTATCGAGTATAGATTTATGCTTAATAGTTTCCCCAAATACTCCATAAAACAAGTAGAAAATGATATTTGGYATTGTGGTGTGCTTATCCTACGTAATTGTGCCCTTCCTCTCTTCGGTCATGAATTTGAGCCCTATGAATTTAAATTATTTTTTCAACCCTCTATTAATATATTTTTATAAAAATAATATAGGTTAATTCTAGTTTCACCAAGCATTTCGTAAATAAAATATTCATATTTAAATTATATTTTTTTATTGGAATGAAAGGTAGTCAACTTAATCGAATGCTTAGGAATTATTTTGGGTTTAAATTGGAACTAATTAGGTTTGTTGGAGATTATTTATTGCCGGCAACGTGTCGACAAAAGAAAGGTTGTAACAACCTGTATTTTCCAATATGGTCATTCTGACAAAATGCGGAAGCGTAAACAACTAAACACTAAATTAACGGAAAGACTTCTTTATTTAATACGATACTATGACAAAAGATAAGGACAAGTCCAACTTTGACCAAAAAAAAAAAAACCTACACTATAATAAAGCCAAAGAATAACTACCAGAACTAACTAAGTTCTCATAAGCTAAAAACAATGGGAAAAAACTAAAGATTTCAACTCCTCATGTCATAACGCTATGCCTCAATCACTATCTGAGCAGTCACTTGAACCTTCATCTGAAAACATTTAGAAAAACAGAAAAAAAAATGAGTACAAAAATACTCAATAAGCAATTTCCATATCGAATTTCAAAATTCATTTTCCTTTCAAACATTCGTAAACAAAAATACRAACAAATCAAAACTTTTAAAGTCCTTTAAAAATATTTAATACAATTTTCAAAACTTTAAAAAATAAACTAGATTTTCGAAAACAAAGTCTTCAAATAAGATAAAATTTCCAGTCAATCAAATCAAACTTTAATTCTTTCAAGACAAACTTTAATTCGATCAAACTTCAAATCCTTCAAAAAAAAAAACTTTCTTTCAATCAAAACTTTCAAAATTCATTCTAAAACACTTGGTACAATTTTCAAACTTTTGAATAACTAAATCATTCAAACATTCAAAACAATCTTACATTCATTCATACTTTCAAAATCAGTGTAGAAGGTTGCATTATTTGGGTAGTCTACAGAACATATGTGGTTAACCGTCGGTAACACCAATCATTCAGAAGCTTCTAACAAAGTTGTCGAATTAATATCGACSAAAACAGAGTTGCCGAAATAATATCGATCAGAGTTGTCGAAATAATATCGACCAGAACAGAGTTGTCGAAATAATATCGACCAGAACAGAGTTACTTAAGTGTGATGCCATGTGAGTGAATAACACACACATGAATCTTCATTCCCAAAGAATGCCAAACCACAAAAGTGTCTTCCCACAAATAAGCCAAAACAGAAATCAATCAATTCCAAATTAGGCTACTACCCCAAATAAGCAAAACGTTCCTCAAAACAAAATCATGGCATATCCGGATAGCCCTATCAAATCAATCAAAATATCTTTCAAATAAAATGTAAAACAAATACTTACTTTCAATATTAAATTAATTCAAAACATTGAAATAATTTAAAACAAACTTTATCAATCCTCGAAAACATGATTTCAAATATTTCACAAATAAACAAAATATTAATTTCAAACYTTTAAATAAATCTAAACAAAACTTTATCAAATCATATAAGAATACTTCAAATACTTTGCAAATAAACATAATATCAATTGTCAAATTAGTTTTCAAATCCATAATAAAACTTCAATTTCATATGCAATATATCAATTTCAAATCTTCCTATCAAATCCAAAATACATTTTAGTTTTTGAAGAGATATGACAAATCACTTACAACACTTTTCGAAGAGATATGGTAAATTACTTACAACACTTTTCGAAGRGATATGGTAAATCACTTACAATACTTTTTCGAAGGGATATGACAAATTACTTACAACACTTTTCGAAGGGATATGGTAAATTACTTATCTCTTTTAGAAATCCTACGAATYTAATTTACTTCTTCCTTGGTAGTTGTCAACTTAGAGGCCTATAAACAACCAATATCCAAAATCAATTCTTAAATCCTATCCAAGGATTTAAAATTCAACCAATTACTAACCAAAATCTTATCTACCCAATTTTCCTATTCAAAACACTTTTTTATCCAAAATAATTAGGAAAGTATAGATTTGGGGCTACAAAACCAGATCTGAAAACTAGGTTAAAAAACCTCTAAATTCAACAATAACAAATTTTAAAATTAGAAGAATCGATATAAATCAATACGAACTAAATTTACAAAAAGTTGCTCAATAAAACCAGCTTAAAAACCTTCTAAGCAATTGAAAATTTGGGAATTTTAAATCTGAAAAATTTTATATTTTAATAAAACTTCCAAGAATTTTCCATAAAACAATTAACAATTTACTAATTTTTATAGAAAAATCAGATCTGAAAACCGTATATAAAACCTTTAAAACTTGGTAAAAACATATAATTTTTCCTGTAAAAATCATAACAACAAACTATAATTTATAGGATACAAATAGGTAAACTTTTTATGCAAAAAGAGTCTCAAAATAGCCCAAAAACAATCTCATAAACAAAAARATTCAAACAAAAAATTCTGGAAAATTTTTAGGGCAAAAATCCTTAAAATCTTTTATTCTAAAAAAAACAAAGACCTCAAAACTTTTCGCAATAAACTGAATTAAAGAACTACAAATCAAGAAAAATAAACTAAAACAATGAGGAAGAAAATCTTACCGATCTTTGAGAGAAAATACCAAAACTCTTCTTCTTTTCTTTTCTTTTTCTCTTTGAGAGAAAACTATGTCTAACAGTTTAAGAAAATAAAACCTAGGGTTTAAAAGCTTTTATAACAAACCTTAATGAATACTTATTTAAAAAGRATAATACAAAGATAAAGATTTAATAAAACTCTTTCTTTTTATTTTTATTTTTTTCAAATTCTAAGAACAAATTATCTTTTAAAAATAATTTTTAAAACAAAAATTTATATATATATATATATTTTTTTTGAGAAAATAAAGAAAACCACTAAATAAAAATAATAATTTAAATATTATATATATATATATATTTTTTTTTTCGGTTGTTACAAAGGTATTATTATTTAAGAATATATTTTATCATGATACTCTGTGCAAGTCTCTTTAGGTCGGAATGTTTTGATGAGCTAAACTGTTCATTATGTTTTATCGACCGACCTAGAAGGTTAGAGTCGACCTACGCGAACATGTCCGCAGGAGTGTTGGATAACACATTAATCAAACAACACGTCATGTTTTACGGGCGGTCGGATGACCGTTAAGCCATTGTCGGGAGTCTTGTCGGAGATCATCTCTCTAAATAGAATTCAATTTTATTATTTATTGGGTGTGTATTTTTATTTTTTATTTTTTATTTTTGCAATAATTCAATACTTTCTCTTATCCTCATTTGCTGGCAAGAATGTTCAAGAAATAATTTTAAATTCRTGATTTAAAGTTAGAGATATGATTGAAAATTCTTTATCTTGTTTGGAACAAAAATAATTTGAAATGAATATAATTAAATTTAATTGTTTGGATGTTCGTTGGATGATTGAGTTTGATTTTTTGGTTTACACAAATTAACTAGTTCAACTGAACCGAAATTTTTTTATTCAAATATCATTTTTACTACTAGAAATTGTTGTTGSCTTTGTAGACGTATACTTTTCACTTTTTGAAATTATCACATTTTCTATAACACCTGCATTATCTGGTTCGTTTATTTTAAGRCTTATTTGTGCCTTGGATTTTTCCTCTAAGCCGATATTTAATTTTATGGATTTTCTAATATCGAAGTTCTAATTTTGGGTTTTAAATTTAGTTAATCTTTTAGATAAATTTTCCAAATCATTTTTAARGAGAGTTCTTATTGGGAAACGATTATGGAACGTTGTTCYTTTTTTTTTTAATAAGACCTTAAACATTACTTTGTGTTGCTATTATAGTTTAATTGGACCCATTTCTTTTTGGTAAAATAAATAAAACAAAAAGAGAAAGGGAAAGAAAATAAAAAGGAAAAAAAGTGAAGGAAACCCTAGCCCCCATCTCTTTCCCCTCCCTTTCATGTGTAGTCCATTCTTAAGAAGCTTCTTCTTCCTCCGTAGCAGTCTCATTCTTCTTCTTCTTCCTTCATAGTAGCCACATTCTTCTTCATCATCGGAGGCGACTCCACGACAGTATTTCCCAACGGACGGTGATGCGAACGAACCCCATGGCGGTGTGACCCTCGGGTTGTAGTGTTTTCAGCGGTGGTGCGACAGCAACAAACCCCCAGATCTAGCGTTCTTCGACGGCCCAGCAGTGCGTGCGGTTCCTTTTGGGAGTCGTTTCGTGTGCAATACTGTAGATTGGAAGGAAGTTATTTCTGTTCTAGGTCGTGAATCGTGATCTTTTACTCAGTTTTCTGTTAATTTTCTGTCCGATTTTGCTTGTAAATTACTGTTTACTTTCAAAACAAAGTCCCTCGAAGGTTCGTGAAAATGCCGAGTTTTAACTGATTATTTTGTTGCTTTGATTTTACTTTTTAAGTTGTTTTCTGGTTCAGTGTGAGAGTTTAGATCGTTGAACGGCGGCGAAAAGTTTTGGTTGGAATAGGCGGTGGATTTTTATGTTTCGTTTTGTTAGTAATGTCATGCATGATCTTGTAGTCGAGATTTAAGAGTAACTTCAATTTTTTTTTTTGTATTTTTTTCTCCCTTGTTCGTGTTGTTCATTGTGGAGCGAAGGGGATTTTTTTGTATGTTATTGTTCAGTTTTCAAAAGTGACAAAGAAAAAACTGTTTGTTTAATAATTATTATTAATTTTTAATTCTTACTGATTAATCTTCTTCTTCAAAGAAGGAATGAGCATCTAAACCCTACAAAAAGGGAGAAAAAATTCAAAGATTCGAAGTTCAAAGCGATGGAAGAGAGAGAAGCCATAAGTGTGTGTGATTCCTTTAACGGCGGCAAGGAGCATTCGGTGGTAGGGTTGTTGCTTATTCGGCGAATCGATGGTAGGGTTGTTGCACTCTTATTAGATGTTGATCTTGGAAAATTTATTTTCAGTCTATTTCATTATTTTCTTGGTGTTTCAAGGCAGTGCAATATAATCTCGACTGCTACTGTTAGATTTTGCTCATTTTGTAAATTAGAATTTTGTATTCAAGTTTCTCGATTTAGGTTGTGTAGCTTACTTTTACGATTTTTAGTAATTGAAGAGGTAAAGAACATATTTGTTGTTTGTGGCAGACTGTCTGGGTAAATAATTTTTCTCCCCTTTCTACTGTGAAATGTGCTACTCTGTAGTTCTGCCAAACTTGAGAAAATTATCTTCCATGTCTCTTCAGTTGTGCCTTTTTTTTTTTATTTTTTAGTCACGTGATTGGTTGGATGTGTGGTAGAGAAGAGATTTCTATAAAGAATCAGTTTAATGTCAATACTAAAGAAATAGGCTTTCATCAGTTTGAAAGTTACAATTACCATCTTTTTTGGAGGATTGCTCTCTCTAATAAGGTAGCTTTTAATCATGGTCATTGGAGGTATTATGCAGTATCAAAACTTTCTGATAATCTTATCTTGTATTACAGACTCTCTATCTAGAAAACCACTTCTATGATTGGATTTTCATTTAAGCTTTCAACCTATTGTCATCCGAGTTAAGCAAATCAGATAAAGCCATGAGGATTGTTATCAGAACGAAATTCCATCTCTTTCTCCTCTTAGGTTAGAGTTGTGAAAGATGGTAAAAATCTAATACAGATTTTTTATTTTATAATTGTAGAGAATGTTTAATTAGTTCTTGTGTCTTATCCAAAAAAGTTTAATTAGTTCATCCAAAAACTTTTTTATGCAAAAGAAAGTTAGACAACAAGGATGGACCTCACCATTCAATTCCTCCCTCACTCATTCACTCATAGAACACCGAGCTAGATTGCTTGTGACAAATCACAAATGAACCAAAGACAAATTTGAGTATAAAGAAGGCAAGATACAACAATAAATAACATAGTTTTTGAAATATATTGACTGAACAGTGTTTACTTTTGGGATTAATACATTGATAGACTATTTAGAGACTATAATTACATAAAAGGATTCAATGTACAAAATTTACACCTTTTTCATGAAATAATCTCATTTAAGATGGTACTCATCACCAATTTACCATTATATCCTTTTATGTTTACACCTAAATATTAATTATTTTTTGAAATTTAAAAATGGTTATTTGGAAAGTTACATTTTAAATCCCTTATTTTATGCCTAATTAGAATTTCCAAAAATAAAAATTTTCAAATCCCCAAAATCCTCCATTATTGCAAATTTTTTTAAAAAAACCCTCCTCCTTCGGCCGTTTCTTCTTCCTTTCTCGTTTATTCTCCTTCCACAAACACCATTGTTTCCGTCCGTTCGAGCTTCTTCTTCGTTGCTGGAGTAGACCGTTATAGCTTCTTCTTCGCTACCGGCGGCTCGTCGATCGTTCGAGCACTCCGTTTATCCCGAGGTTTGTTTAGTCGCCGACCGGAAGGCTATATGAAATTCATTGTAAATCACTGTGTCATCGAATCTGTTCGTTTGTCGCGGGTGGTCAACAAATCTTTGTACAAAATGCTGCCATCTGCAAAGGGATTCACACGGCCGCTAGGTCGTCGGATTTGAGTGGTGCGAAATTTAGGTGTGAATTCTTCTACATATGAGGATATAATATATATCTACAACTAAATACCATTTTGGTAGTTATAGGAACTCAATAGTCGGATATATTTTATATTTATCATATAAGTTTATCTTGTAATTGTATTGGATTGCATTTGCTAGGTTAATGTTAATAAGAGCAATTAATAATAATGAAACATGTGCTAAGGTGTCTAAATTGATAGAATAGGTTAATGTTATATGTAGATATAATATATATCTACACTATATGAGTTTATATGAGATTGAGACTTCAATAGTTAAAGATTATATTCGGATATATTTTACATCTATTATTAAATACCAAATTGCAAGATACAATCCAGTTCTATTGCTTTTTGTGGTTGCTGAAAACTTTTGATGTTAGACTTCCTAATATCATTAAATTGTGGGTAAATGGTGGGTATATTTTTCAACTATTATGAATTTGAAATCATAGGTAAATCTACACATTAATTAATTTAGAAATTGAAATCATGATAATCATTTTGTAATTAATATAGGCCATTCATATACTAATCCCATTAATATATGAATGAGTAAATTAAGGGATTAAGAAAAAAGTTGTATGGGCTCATAATAATTAAAAGATTATGTCTACAATTTAGGGATTTAAATCTTTTAGATTTCAAAAAAAAAAAACAAAATTAACAATAATAAATATAAATTAATAAATAAGGGTAAAATCGATATTATAAAAAAATCCTACATGCAGAAATCTAAAAGTGTGAAATTGGAAAATTTTAGACATTTGTGAAAATAAGTTTTTAAAACAGCCCTCCGAAGACATTAACTTTTTACTTTTCTTGATGGCGTGAGCTAGTATTAAATGGGATTGGTTCCAAACTAATTGGAAATGAAACTAGACTCACAAGGGAAGGTTATGGTAGGCTGCAACCAAATTTGATTGAGTTAGGACGGCTGTGCAATGTTTTAAAGTCAGACAATAGTATTTTTGTTTGGTATCAGTACACTGTTTTGGAGTGGTTGGACTATTCCGTGAATTTGGGGTACTTCCACTTGATTTTTTATTTGAAATTTTGTGTAGAAGTCAATAAGGTACCATGGATTAAGGAGAAGTCAGCATTGTCAAGGAAAAAAAATTCAAAATGGGGTCGTTGGAGTGGCTGAAAATGGGGATAAAGATATTGTAGCTACTGTTCTTATTCTTTACTGCAAACCTCTTTGTCTTCCTTTTCGTTTTTGCCTGACAAAATGAACTCCAAACAAGTCTAAAAATTTCTAGATCAAAAATAGACTCAAAGAGATTCTCAATGGTCACAAATTTCAGGTCATTTGAGTCACGGAGCATAAAGTTACATGCAATACAAGTTGTAGCAAAAAAGATCACAATTGTGCAGAAAATGACAGCACCAAACTTCTTTTTCTTTTCTGTTATCTTCTTTTTGTTTCTTTTTGTTTCTTCTTCTTATTATACTTCTTCTTTTGTTTTGTTTTTTTTTCTGGTTTTTCTTGAACTACAAGTTACATAGAAGCTCAAAAAACACCTTTTCATTAGCAAACAATGGTTGGAGCTTGAAAGAAAATTTGAAAACCAAGTAAAGATAGATAGATAGATGGGGATAYGTTCGATCTTGAGACAAAGCTCTGATACCAAATGATGTACTCAACCCTACCATAAGTGGCTTAGACAACCCTTGTAAGAACAATCACTTCATAAACACACACGACAACACCTAGTACACACACAAAGAATCACTCAAGGGGAAGAAGAATGGACTTACCTTAAAGGTCAAGGCTTTGGATAGARAGAACTTGTTATAGATCCAAAGTGAAACACTCCACAAGTTTGATGATCAACCTAAACTTGCATGTTTCAGAGAGTTTTGTTCAACTAGATCAAGATGCACTAGTGATCACGGTTTTGGGAGCAAAGAAGAAAGCTCATAGGCTATTTTTATTCATCAATAATCCAACCTCTCAGATGTATAAGAAACCTATAAATAGACAATTTRATTTTCCCTAAAATAAAAGGAAAAATTATTTAACTAAACATAGAATAAACTAGTTCCAATAGGACATAACTAAGTTAAACAAATTGACGAGGTTTCTCTAAATGGGCCTCGGTCCATTATTGTCCCTTCATCCGTTGAAGTTCGTCCTCGTATRCTTCAAGCCAACTGCCTGCAGTTCGGGACATCTCAGGTGAGGTGCTCTCTAGGTCTACTCGTATTGAAGCACCTATCCCCATTAAACTTAACTCTGTGGAAAGTCTAATCAATATAAAAGTTCATCTACTTTTTAATTCCTCTTCCCAATGGAATTGGGACGGTATATACGGTTTGGAAGGCAGCAGCTAGCATTTTCCAAGCGGGAGAAAAAGAAATGTTGGCTCGCTCAAGGTCTACTCTATATAGCTTGGCATCGAACTATATTCAACACATGGTAGATGGGGCAGTTGAGGTAAGTAGATCTTCTAACCTCTCATTACTTCGAACTATTTTTTATTTTTATGGATTAGACGTTCTTGAACACATGCAAAGGAGTTGTTGTGATAAGCTCTAAACTATTGAGGTGTGACCCAAAATTAAATGTAGAAGTTTATAGCTGAGGTGAAGAAGACGGAARAAATCAATGTTGTGCGGAATCCAAGCCTTTGAGGTTGAGGCCAAACAGAAGGAGGCTGAAGAAGCTAGAAAAGACAACTTTGGAGGCCCAAGAGAAACTCAAAGGCCAAAGAGAAGGTCCAGAAGGCAAGAAAGGTCGGGAAAATTGCCAAAGCTGAAGAGGTTGGCAAGGTCGTGACTGAACAAAGACATGCGATTGAAAGCCAAGTTTGTTGATTCGATCTTAGTGAAGGAGTTGAAGAAGCACCTTATACCTCACAAGTATAAAGGACTTGGCTAGTGATGGGTTTGACTTTGCCATTGAGTGGATCAAGGAAGCTTTTCCAAGTTTGACACCGCATAAATTGTTAGAGCCTATGAAAAAGCTTGGGAGGTTATCACTGACCAACCAGAAGCTGATCAACCACCGAGTAAACTGACAAGGAGTCTTTCCAAATAATCTTGACTTTATGCTTCTTCTTTTTTTTTTCTGCTTCTCAAATTCTACATAACTGAACATTGGACCGAACTCAAATAACAATCGAACTAATCTTTAACAGTAATTCACGCTTTATACATTAAACATCAGAATTTACAATATGGATGAGTAAGCCCCTATTTGAGCATATAGTTCAGTAACTTACTTAACCGAAGTATTTCCTCAAATAGAAAAAGGTAGAGAACACTTTATTGATAATAGATCTTTTAAGTGTTATGCATTCCACACATGAGATAGTGTTTTTCCATTCAGGTCGGTGTTGTCCTAGCAACCTGGCTGCCAAAGAAAGTTCAAGTGTACACAAATGAGGTTGTCGCAAGTGATTAAAGATCGTGGGTCTCCACAAGGATCACAACAACTAATTCATTCTAAATTTTAACCTAAGAATTCAATAACCAATTAGGTACAATTTTCTTTTAAATTARAAAACAATTAAACATACGCATATAAGAAAGGAAATAGTACAAACGAACAATAAAGAAAAGAAAGGGTATTATCCACGAGAAATAGCAGCGGCAGGTTAATTCCTTTTACTCAACTACCTTAATTCAATACTCCAACATCTGAAGTCACTCTTAC